GGAGTGCTGCTACATCGACTAAAAGTTTGGCATGAGGCAGCAATCTTTTCTTTCATTATTCTTATTTTTTTCTGAAAAATTAAAACGCATGTTTTTACATTAGCGCATATATATGTATATATATTTATATATATATATATATATATATATATATATATATATATATATATATATATATATATATTTTTTTTTTTTTATTGTCGTTTTTTACTTTCTTAACATCTGTTTCTTTTGATTCATCAACACCAAAAACTAATTTTTCTTTCTTTTTATTCTATCTACTATTTCAACAGAGACAGCATTAAGAATAGGAATACGCATATTCTCTTTGTTTCTTTATATATAATTTTTTATATTTAACATAATCTTTTTGTTTCTTTACCACAATTTATTCTTTTTTTTACGTATTTAATGTAATATTTTTAACAAAGGTTATAAACAATTTATAGATGGATTAGCAATAATTTTGTAATAAATAATTTTTTCAATAAGTTAAATTTTAGGTTTTAAATTTTTATTTCCAATAAATTTGTAAACAAAATTTAAGTTCATAAATAAGTTACCTCAAAATAACTTTACACGGCATTGAATTAATAAGAAACAAAAGTTTTAAATACATTTCCTTTTAAACAAATACAATTCTAAATTAATAAATGGAGCCAGAATTTTATAGTGATTTCAAAATTCTTAATTTTTTCTACTGAAATTTTTTAAAAAAGAATTTAGCAAACAAACTTTTAAATTTTTAGTTAAAAATTATTGTTTTTTGTATATAAAATGTAAGCAAATCATTTTTATTTGAAACCATTATTTTTTCTGAAATCTTTATAATATTCTGTGGGTAGGTGACCTTTTTCAAAAATTAAATAAAACCAATAACTTTTCATTAAGATGTGAACTTTTTAGTATATCCAGTTTTCTGTAACTGAAAGTAACTGAAAAGTTATTGGTTGTATTTAATTTTTGAAATATGAATATATATATATATATATATATATATATATATATATATATATATATATATATATATATATATATATGTATATATATATATATATATATATATAAATATATATAAATATATATAAATATATATATATATATATATATATATATATATATATATATATATATATATATATATATATATATATATATATATATATATATATATATATATATATATATATATATATATATATATATATATATATATATATATTTATACAGCCTTCCAAATCCTATTTGGCATTTGGCAATGCCATGCAAAAGTTGATGCAAAAATAAAAATATGTAAAAGTATAAAATATTTGTTTAATATGGCTCATAATTTATTTATTGTAATTATTAATTTTTCCAAGTTACGCAGGTTTTATTAATTTTTTTTTTTTTTTTTTTACAATTCATTTTTTACTTTTTTTCAAATTATGATATTAGCATATTCTTTAAAGATATTGAGTAAAGAACACTGCCTGGAGTGGAGCCTATGGTTTAATTTGGGCTATGGATTAATTTTACAGGAAAATTCATTACCCTAGTCGAAAAACCCTATAGGATCCTATAAGAATTTGGAACAAAAACAATTTCAGATTTAAACCCCATTAAATTAAAACACATAAGTTAAAATGCTTTTAAAGTTATCAAAGCTTTGTAATTTTTTTTTGCTTAAAAATCCCTAGGTCCTATAGGACTTTTTGGCCAGGGTAGGTCCAGACACATAGGTATTGGCTTGTTGATAACCCTTTCTTAATTTTATGCGTGATGCATGGATTTTTTTTTATTTAAGTTTTCTGTTGTTTTTTTTTAATTATTTACCTCCCCAAGCCCGAGAAGGTCATTACAGTCGTGAAGGCTACTTTTGTGGTTACAACCCTCTCTCAACTCTATAACTCTAAAACACGAACCTCGACAAACAAGGTTGCTGTGCCAAGAAACAAGTTGAGTGTGGTACTACCAGGGGTGTGGTGGGGATTAAAGTCAGACTTTCTTGCTTATGAGGTGAGACTCTGCCACAACACCACTACTGCTTATTACACACCAATTTTCAACAAATTTTTTAAATTTTGACTAATAATTTATTAGAAAGAAATATTTAAAAAATTATTTACAACTCCAGAAAGAATTTTGGAGTTATAATAGTTTTGGAGGTAAATGAAAGCAGATATATAAATTGTTTTGTTTCTTATAATTTTTTTTTTTTCCATTTTAAATGTGTTTAACATTAGCGATGTAGCTTTTGAACACTTGCATTTTGAGTGATTGCAAAAGATTGAACAACATCCATCCCATCCCATGTCCCTAAATAAATTAAATGTTTATAATTTTTTTTATTCTAAAATTTTTTCTTTTTATTAAAAATTTAATAATTTATAATATTATTATCATCTCGTTCTTTTATAAAAAAAAATTTTAATCTGTAAAATTAATGAGACAAGTTATGTCAAAGTACAAGTTAATTATATCAACAGGTTAATTATGTCAAAGTACAGGTTAAAATCATTTTGACTATACTGTATAAACTTTTTAAAAATCTTGCGTTTTATTTCAATCCAAACTTTAATAACTTTTTCCATAACCTGTCGCCCATTTAAAGCATTAACAATTTTTTTGATATCGGTTTTGTCATCAAAGATAACTTTTCCTGTACCTGTAAAAAAATAACAACAACAAAGAAAAAAAGAGCTTTAGTAGTTTTTTGAAAACCATTTAAATTTGATAATTTTAATTAAAAACTTTTTAAAAATAAAATATACTTTTTAATATAAAATATTTTTATAGTTGCGTTTTTAATTTAGTATCTAAAATATGACTTTAAAGTGGAAATAAAAAATAGAAGTTTATGTAAAACTTAAATTGAATCTACTTTTTTTTTTTTTAAATAATAAATATTTGTTGGTTTAAATTTGAATTACATGAAACAAAAATTTTTAAAAGTTTCAGGGTTATAAAATAGATCTTAGTGTTGTGCTAAACCAACATTGATAAATATAATATAAAACTTAGTTGTTATGCAATAGTGAAACAAAAATAAAAATAAAAATTTTGCAACTTACCCTGCACCGGGGCAAGTTGCAACAGTGAACAGGGTAAGTTGCAACACAATACGTATAAGCCTCTCAGAGTTCTAAGAGATATAACAAGTTCATTTCTAATTTCTATTTGGCAACAAAAAATTGATAATTACATTAAAGGAAATTAGTATTTTGATTGAGCTGCAATACTTTTATTATAAGAAAATTCACATACACCTGACTTGTTTAGTAAACTGATAATTGTATTCAAAGATTTCCAAGACTTAGGAAATTAAACGAAAAGGATTATTATTTAAACTAATTTATTATTTTAACTCCAAAGTTTCGAAAAAAAATTATTCTCTTAATCAATAAACAATAAATTTGTTTAAAAAATGCAAGAGAAGGTTTTAGGATATTTAAGTTTTGTTTTTAGAATATAAAAACACAATAACAATTTATAAAAAATAATTGAAAATTTTAAAAAATAAAACAAATGTTAAATAAAAATTTCATAAAAACAAACAAAAATCAAACTTAAATTAATTATCTATAACAACAACAATTAGTTATCTATAACAACAAAAAAAGAATTTCCTTGCATTAAACATTCATTAAAAAACAAGTATTAAAGAAATAAAAGAATTAATTACATTTCATTTCAACAATTAGATTTCTTAAATGTTTTTTGTTATTGATGTAGAAATATTAGGAGAGTTAAAAAAAACACCAATTAGTATAGAATTAACTAGAAAAGTGTGTAAAATCAACAAAAACCGCATTTATTTGATGATACTTACCTAAAGTAATTTTTGCTGCTTTCCTGTATACATAATGATCATTCTAACCAATGTATATAATTATTTACATTATTAACATTATTACAAGATTTTTTTAATCTACCATTATTTTATTAAGGTCACAAATCTTTAAGTTTACAGTGAAACTAAAAAAAACTTCTAAAACAAAAATTAGAATTTTGTATTGAAAAAACAAAATCGTCAATTTCTTTTGAAAATTCAAGTAGGATTTTTATAGATGATGTGTTATAATTACAGTTACATAATGTAAAAAAAATTTAAGGAATAAAATAACTGTTCTTTAAAATCATTGTTGTAACTTACCCCTGTTGCAACTAGCCCCAGTCACCCTTGCATTTTCTTTGCAACACCTACAATGGGTTGCAAACAAAAAGCGCACAGTGTGCACCTTTTGTTTTTGTACTGCACACCAACAATTCAATTATGAGAAAATTTTGTTTAAAATTATTAAAACAAAAATTTGATTTATAAAAATAATTTAGATGCATCATTGTAATATTAATTTTATTTTTTATGTAAGTTTTATCAGAATCGATTTTTCAGATTTTATCACATGTAAACAAGGATAACAACATATGTAAATATGGATTTTCTATATGAAATTACCAAACTGGTACATTAATCTTGTGTTATATTGAAGAGTGCATAGTAAAGTAAAGTTCAGAAATTGTTAGCAATACATTGCATTACACAATTTAAATCATATAAACAACAGATTTAATTGACTTAAATTTATTAAAAAACAAAAGTAATTTGAGATTTGGTTTGATAAGTTTTTTATAATTCTCATAACTATATTGATTTATTGAAAAGGGTGCAGAGAATTTTTTATTTAAATGTTTTATTTTTGTTTTTTTCATTTAATCTGTGAAAAAATTGTTTCAATATGGCATTTCTTTTTTTTTTTTTTTTTTTGTATATTGCTTACTAAAATCTAGTCATTTAACAAAGATATTACTTTCTTTAGAATAGAAAAGATTTCTTTAAATATTTACCTTAATAACTTAAGAGTACATGAATAGCTATATTTTATATTATTTTCTCTGATTTATTTCCTCTGGGTAAAAGTTGACTATTAGTCTAAGGAATGATAGTATGTTATATTTCTCTTGTTTTTAGGTATAAGGTGTGCGCGGAATCTATTATGTTATATTTCTCTTGTTTTTAGGTATAAGGTGTGCACAAAGTTTGTAATTTTTGCTTCCGCAATAAACAACGTTTTAAATGGAGATATCATTGGCAAGACATTGTCTAGCACCACTAATGTATCAGTATTTTGCCCACCATCAGTTTTAAATGTAATAACTACACCCATTCTTTCACAAAATGGATATGTTCTGTTATCCATCAACAGCTTTTTAATACTTACTATATATCAAAATACAGGATCATATTTGCTATACTCAATTGATTGGGGTGATGGTAGCGATGTCACCTACAATAATCAGACTATGAATTCAAATCCTGTTTCATTCCAAGTGCAACATAATTATACAACAGAGAATGTATTTAGCATTTCTATAACATCTAAGAATTTATTGTATAACACAAGCAGAATAATTAGTGTGATGGTAAAAGACTGTACTGTGCCACCAATTAGTTTTTATTATGGAACATATTCAAGTCCAATGACCATTTTTCGAAGTGTTGGAGCAGATTTAACTGGTGTTGTAGCAACTATTGATCCTTTATGTAAAAATGATAGTTTTACTATTCAGTGGCATCTAACCAATTTAGTTTCAAAACCTAAAGTAACTAATGGTATTCAAGTCCAGCAAAAAATTACTTACACAGTTGAAAAAAATTTATTTGACTTTGGTCTTTACAATTTGTCATTGGTTTATAATTATGGGATATATAGTAGTGTTTATACTGCATACTTTAACGTTACGCATTTACCTTTGCATATAAATATTGATAAAGGATTTTTTAACTCTGTTGCATACAAGAAAAAAGTAGGAAATGATAGTTTTCATCAAAACTTTACAATAAGTGCAAAGTCTAGTTATGATCCTGATGATCCAATAATTGGAATTCAAAATATAACTTTTATGTGGAGATGTAAAATTGCCTCGAATTTTTCAAATGCTTTGGAAGTCATGGGAAATTTTACACTTTTGAATTTGACATACAAAAGCGATACATGTTTTAATCAAACATGGATGAATATTTCTTCTAAAACTAGCATGAACTTTAGTACACAGCAATTTTTAGAAGGTTTGAGTTATCATTTTGAGGTTTGTGGAACAAAGAATGCGGGAAAAGATATTTACTCAAATATTATATTCAAAAGTAACTGTTTCATTCAAGAAGTCTTAATCATCTCTCAAGGTTTACCAACTATTTCTGTTAAGTATGTTTTCTAACATTTTCTATATTTTTCAAGATTTTTTACTTTGAACTTAATATATATGCGCAGACAAAAATACTTTATTCAACTTTAATTTTACCCAAAAATTTTAATAATGATATTTTTTATACAGCATTGTGCTACAGAAATTTAAAAGACATACTTTAGTATCACATAATTTTTAATTTTATACAGCATTGTGCTACAGAAATTTAAAAGACATACTTTAGTATCACATAATTTTTAATTTTTTTGCTCTCATCCACCGTGTGTTCCTCTGAGACTGAAGTGTGAATAAACTTTTTTCATGATAATTTTAACAGTTTAGTTTACATAAATTTATGTGTTAGCAAATTTTTAGTGTTATAAAAATATTAGCACATTACTAGAAAATAGTAAACTTTGTATTTGTGTTATACAAATTTGTATATTACTAGAGAATAATAAACTTTGTGTTCATGTTATACAAGTCTGTACATTACTACAAAATAGTAAACTTTGTGTTTGTGTTATAAAAATTTGTATATTACTACAAAATAGTAAACTTTGTAAATAGTTTTAAATTTTTTTTTGTGTAAAACTTAATTAATAACATAATCAAAAATCCAGTCGAAGGATAATGATGAGCTAGCTTTCCTATTAAGTTTTACAATTGGTGTGTCTTGATTACCACCACATGGAATGAAGTTTAAAGTAGGAGCAACAATTATCCTTCTAAAGAACTCCATTAAAGGACTACTTTGCAGAATATGACTTATTTTCAGGGTGTTTAGCTAATAAAATGAACAAGAATTGCTAAAGGAAAACACAAAGATACCCATATTTCGATAAAACAATATTTCTTTGCCAAATTGACGAGTCTGATAAAAATATAATTTACCCCTTATGTTAAATTTGCAACAGTTTCTAGATCTATCAAACTTTGATGTGACTATCAACAAGTCATAAAAGCGATCATTCAATAGAGTTGATCTATCATTTTCAAGACCAATTTCAAGAGCAGGAATTAAAATTTATATATATATATATATATATATAGAGGCTTCGGCAGGAATGACGGGCTATAGCCCGTGTCCGTCTCCGCACCCGTCTAAGTCAGTTTAGACGGGCGAAATAAAGCCCGTCTGAAACATAAGTTTTGTGTAAAAAAAAAAAGATGAATATTTTGATGTTTTTTTATTAAGATACTCTTTTAAAACTTCTCTCATGACATAATTTTAATATGGATAGCAAACTCCAACTTATAATTGTTTATATTTAAATATAAAAATTAAACAATTTAATCATTATTATATAACATGATGTAGAAAATAATATAACTAAATCTTACAGTTTTTTAAACGACGATAACTGTTTGATATAATACCAAACAGTTACCATATTATGTTCAAAATTTAATAACTATAATATTAAATAGGGAAATATACACATGTGATGCACAAGAAGTATCATGTTGTTTTGGTTTTTCAATGTTTATAATAATAACGATAATAAACTAATTATCCATGTATTTCGCTTTTTTCCGATAAACTAGTTTGTCTTACTTTAAAGACATTTAAAGTGATATTTCCGCGTTAACTTCCGCGTTAACTTCACGTTTTTTCTTAAAGAGACGGCAGTTTATTTAATATGCAATTATATAACTCGTTATTGAAAATGAAATATCTCATTAAAAATCAACAAACGTCTAATCAATTTTTGTAGATAATATAAATAGTGTTGCTTTATAGTTATGAAGTTATTCAAGTTATCCAGTCATTCAAGTTTTTCAAGTTATTCAAGTTTTTCAGTAAAGATAGTAATGGCATCATCTGGTAGAAGAGTTACATTAGCAACATTTTTGAGTTGGGGTAAAGATGGAGTCTGTGGAAAAGAAACTGAGGTGGAGAATGGAACAATTTTTGTTGTGAAGATATGGTGTATGGTTTGTATAAAATATAAAAAAGAATTGCTTCGCGAGTTAAAAGGTCTGGCAAAATCAAAAGCATTAGCATTTATAGAGGGCACTACGAACGTTAAAGCTAGCAACATACATACGCTTATATACATGCTTATATTGTATATAAAGTAACGGAAGCCCCGGTATCTTAAGAAATTATTAGTACTTCTAAATAAAAACTTATTTTATTAAAAGAAATTAGATTTCAAATTTTTTATTCACGTATCAGAATAACTATTTCCGATCAGGATAGGCATAGGTAAAGCAAAATTATAAAAATATAAATAACAGTTTAAGTTTTTAATTTGCACGCCCATTAGAATGCAAGAGTATATAAATAATTGAATTTGAAAAATAACATGGTTACGTATCATATTACCAAGCTAATACCAAACAATTCTAAAACTATCGAGCTCATTGATTCAAGGTTAAAAAAAAAAAGATTTCAAACTATTTGCTGAATAATTAAAAAAATTAGATTTTGAAAATATTATGTAATATTTTTATTCACAAAGAATAAGAGAAACGAATGAACTAAAAAAGCACGATAAAAACCTGTATAATTTAATCGAATACTTGAATAAAACAATAATATATAAATATACTCAAAAAGACTTCGGTAAAAAAACTCTTTAGGATGCTTGAATAAGGAAACGTGATGAAATGCCATGGTTGTTTCGAGGATTTTTCCCGTCGTTTTCACGTTCATTCGTTTGACTATACCTGCCAGATATTATCTGGAATAAAGATTAAAAAAAAAAAAAACATAAAAAACTGAATAAAGTTCCTTCGAGTAAGAAATCTAAACAAAAGCAACCATAAAACAACTAACCCATGTGAAACGAAATTAGATCTGTGCAAGTGAAAACTTTGAAAAACAATTATTGAAATCTTAGTTTTAAGTATTATCCAACTCATTTACTGCAGTGTTTTAATTACTTAAGTAATTAAGCATTTTAAACAGTTAATCGCTTTCTAACATATTATTTTAGTGCAATTCACAAAATGTTTAATATTCAATGACATTTTCATTCAAAAAGAAGAAGAGAAATTAACAAATTTAAAAAAAAAAAAGTTAAAACTTTAGAATTTTTTTTAAAGTTTAAAAAAGCCCGTGCAAGACCATCTAGACGGGCGGCCCTCATAGCCCCGCCAAGTCTATTTAAGACGGGCTTTTCATAGCCCGTACGGTTTTTATTCCTGCCGAAGCCTGTATATATATATATATATATATATATATATATATATATATATATATATATATATATATATTTGAACATCTTCGCTTCCAACAAGGCTGCAAGCAACCACTAATTAGTGTTGGAAGTTACTGGAAGAAAAAAGATGAAGATTGTAGAGCAAGATAACCATTGACAGACGACTTAAAAGAATGCAAATTATATGAATCAGGAAAGCAAGATGAAGGAAGCAAGTTCCAAAGAACTGATGTTCAAAGGAAAAAACTAGACCAATAAGAGTTTTTAGAGCATTTAGGAACAGTTATAGAAAAAGGATGAGACCTAATTGAATGACGAGTAACACAAGAATGAATTTTAGTAGATGGCACAAGAGCACTTTAGAGCACTTCCCATCTTGGTGTTTGTAGAAAAGAGAAAGAGAAGCAAGATTACACCGATTTGGCAAATTTTAAAGGTTGGCCGCAAGAGCAGGTCCAACTATGTTTACAATGCGTTTTTGAACTCTGAAAGAAATAGGGCATCATTAGAAGATCTGCCCCAGATGTGGAGAGTAATCCTAGAAGATGAAGGATAGATAACTCATTGAGTACATTACCGTTCATAAATAAAGAAGGTCTAAATTATTACGATAACGATTGGCTGAAACAAATTGAGTTTTATCTGAGTTAAAGTTCACTAGCCACTGTGAACCCCATGCTGTAGCAGAATTAAGATCCTTTTCAAGCTCAAATACCCCCTCCAAGCAATCAGAGTGTATTGGCTTCTAATCACGACAAAAATAATTGGTAGTATCATCAGTGAACAATGCCCCCATAGGTGTGAGAATATCTGGAAGATCGTTAATGTAAACTTAAAAAAGTATAGGGCCAAGGATTGAACTTTGAGGAACCCCTGAGGTTACAGAATAAGAAGAAGAGTGCTGTCCGTTAAGGACAACTTTTATACTACGATTGGAATGGAAGGATTCAATAATCTTAAAGATGTTTCCAGATACACCGCAAGATGAAAGTTTATGGAGAAGGCCAACATGCCAAACTTTATCTACACTTTAGAAATGTCAAGAGTGATGGCTTTAACCTCTCCACCTTTATCTAATACACAATAAAACCTATCGGTTATTACTGTTGGCAAATCAACCGTAGAACAAGAAGATTGAAATCCATATTGATGATCAAAAAGTAAGTTATTAGATTCAAGATGGGAGATTAAGTGTTTGTTAATTAAAGATTTAAAAACCTTGTTTATGATAGGAAAAAAGACAAATGGGATGGTATTTAGACAAATCAGATTGCTCTTCAGAATTTTAAAAAATAGGGAGAACAGATGCTGCTTTCCAGTAGGCTGGAAAACAAGACTCTGAATAGCACTTGTTGAATAATTTTGAAAGGATAGGTGACAGCTCCGGAGAACACTTCTGCAAGACTATAACAGGTATGTTGTCCAGGCCACAAGCTGCAGAAGAGTCTAAGCAGGAAATCACTTTCGATACAGAAGCTGGAATGATACGAATATAAAGCAATTGATCAACCTGTTTGACAGCTATATCAGGTAGAATGCAACTAGTGTAATCAAGAGATGATATTGATGAAAAGTTCTTAGCAAATAATTCTGCCTTGTCTTTAGGTGAGGTGAAAAAGTCTGAACCAAACAAAAGAGGTGTAATTACAGACTTGCCCTTATTATTGATACTGTTAAAGATTCTCCAGAAGTCACGAGAGCCTAATTTTTGTGATGAAATACGAGATTTCATGACCTGAGAATAGCGGGTTTTGACATTAGACAAAACCTTTTTACAATGGTTCCTAGGAGTAATAAACAGCCGTCTGTTTTCTGGAGAATTATTTTGCTGATAGATATAGAAGTAA